TCTGACCCCAATACAGACTGTATGTCCGCCGTTGTTAGGTCGAGTTTTGTTGGCGGTGAAAAGTTGAAATAATTATATATGTTACTCCTCAAAATAAAATCGTTTTTTATTATAAGTACACAAGAGAAAACGATACAATTATAACCGAGTCTTAAGAGATTTATAATTTCTCATCATAACAGAATACTGAGTGGCAGTCTATGGCCACTGATAATACTGATGGTGATACTTGTAGAATTCAGTATCCTAGCCAAGCAACTGCCTTTGAGTTGATTTAAAGCATGCTGCCTATATACGCTGCTGGGAGTGTTCAAAATTCCTGTTCCTTTTCTAAAAATAAACCAAACGTCATTACATTTTCAATTGTGCGCAGTTCTTGAGAAAGATTCGAGATAGAGCAGAAATAGTTTACGCTTTGATAAATCAACAATTAAGGTTTGATAATGCACTTGATGCAGAGACTTTTCCCAAAGACGATTCTTTAAAGATACGCGCCAGCTCTTTTTTTTTTTTTTTTTTTTTTTTTTTTTACTGATTTCGATTGTTAATATTTGATTCCATTTCAGTAAGAAATAACTGTTAATAGTGCTGAAGTAAAATTGTGTTCGTGATCCATGCGCTGCACTGTTTACGTAAGGATTCTTATTTAGCTTTCATTGTTTGTAAATAAATGAAAAAATCGTAACCTTTCTTATGATTCTCCAAACAGCTGTTCAGTGAAGACAAAGGCCATCTTAAACCTGATCTGCAGCACTGCAAGACCACGTACAATGACAAAAGAGCATGGAAATGATGTAAAATAAGCGATAACCATGAATTATACGCTTTAACATTTTTTTTTTTTTATTACTTACCGTTTCGTTTGAATACAGACGTGTGTGATTTCCCCGTTTGTTTGTTTGATGTCATTTTTCTCTTTGTAAAAGGGAATTTCATGCCCTCTCCGTCCCCACTCTTTATTTTCAGTTTCATGCTCTCTCTCTCTCTCTCTCTCTCTCTCTCTCTCTCTCTCTCTCTCTCTCTCTCTCTCTCTCTCTCTCTCTCTCTCTCTCTCTCTCTCTCTCTCTCTCTCTTCTTTGTCTCTCTCTCTCTCTCTCTCTCTCTCTCTCTCTCTCTCTCTCTCTCTCTCTCTCTCTCTCTCTCTCTCTCTCTCTCTCTCTCTCTCTCTCTCTCCTTCTCTCTCTCTCTCTCTCTCCTTCTCTCTCTCTCTCTCTCCTTCTCTCTCTCTCTCCTTTTCTCTCTCTCTCCTTCTCTCTCTCTCTCTCTCTCTCTCTCTCTCTCTCTCTCTCTCTCTCTCTCTCTCTCTCTCTCTCTCTCTCTCTCGCTCTGTCTCTCTTTCTCCTTTTCTTTCTTTCTCTCTCTCTCTCTCTCTCTCTCTCTCTCTCTCTCTCTCTCTCTCTCTCTCTCTCGCTCTGTCTCCCTTTCTCCTTTTCTTTCTTTCTCTCTCTCTCTCTCTCTCTCTCTCTCTCTCTCTCTCTCTCTCTCTCTCTCTCTCTCTCTCTCTCTCTCTCTCTCTCTCTCTCTCTCTCTTTCTACACACACACACACACACACGTAAGCAACCTGATAAAACTGAAACTACGAATCCAGCGAAAGTGAGATCGAACGAAAATGAGAGCGAAAGAGTGTAAAAGTGAGAGCGAGAGAGCAGTCAGACGGTGAAGACGAAGAAAAGAGAATATTGCAAAAGGTAAAATGGCATTTACAGCTATACAGTTGAGACATTAGGTTAGTATGTAGCTAAATATAGGAACGTTAAAAAGCTCACTACTCTCTCAAAAAAACAGGTGTGTTAATACAGGGATGATATAAATTCCGGGATGTTAAATGGTCACCTTACTTTTTAACAGAACTGCATAGTGAATAGTGTTTTTTTCTACGTATTTATGTGTGTGGAATAAATTTATGTCTGTCTTTTCTTTCTAACATGATAACACAAATTATTTGAAATATCATTAGAAAAATTCAATTCTAATATATCTATATTAATAGTAAATAGAACTACTTATATAAATTGTAACGGAACATGATTACAATAAAACCAAGTGTTAGAGTGCCATGTACTTCTTAGAGACTGCAGCTGGGCACAGGAAATACTTTTTCGATGAATCGCATATAAATTGCAAAGATAACACGGTGATTGATCTCTGCACCTGGAGGTGAAGCAGTTTGTTTTCAAATATTCCATGAATGAAGCTAGCATAAGATACCTAATATATCTGCTTGATTGGTTTTACTTTGAAATTTTCAGGTTCGTGTCTATTATCTCTCTCTCTCTCTCTCTCTCTCTCTCTCTCTCTCTCTCTCTCTCTCTCTCTCTCTCTCTCTCTCTCTCTCTCTCTCTCTCTCTCTCTCTCTCTCTCTCTCTCCTTTCAGTAAGGGATTCTGCGTTGCGTGTTGGGGTACAAGTTTTCTCTCAATAGCCATGACTATCCTTTTTTAAGATTTTGTACCGTATAACTATTTGTAAGCTTAGCTAGAAACCTGTCTTTGATGAGTCACTTAATTCTTACAAGCAATTCTTCTCAGTGAAACCCTCGACCGTCACG